TATTTGAGCCCGAAACAGAACCCACAAACTATTTCAAACACCTCAGAAAAGAAATTGATCACAGGTATGTGTGAAACATGCCCGAAGATATGCTTCAATCTTTTGTAAAATCCAATTATGGATTGAAAATTTGACAGTTGCATCGGAATATCTAATTCAAGTGTAGAGAATAGGCAAAAGTTGATTTAAAACTTAATCAAAAATACTTCGGCATAGCGAGGTAATAACTGCTAGAAATTTTTTATAACTTATCAACTATTGCTCTCTAGGTCATACGCGAAAAAGTGTCCACTTCAACTTTGCTCCTGCTGGCACGCACCGCAAAGAATCTGCAGCAGCTGCACGTGCGGCGCTTTGCTGTCATCTTGAGATGCGACTGGCCCCGTCATCCGGAGTGGAGCGATGAGTTTTATTTGTGGCTGAAGCGCAACTCCCGTTCCTATGAGGCGGTCGAACGTGAAATCTCACAGATATTGGGCTATAACTGGAATTTACTCAGCGATCGCGAATTCAAGCAGCTGACGCTGAATGTTAAGGCGGGCGCGTAAAAACACGCCCACTTTATATTTAAAAAAAAAAAACGTAAGAAAAAACTGCGACTTGTGATAAAAGGTGTAGAGCTTTATTAGTTGATGAAAAAAATAAACCAAATATTTATTGAAGAAATTATTTGGGTTTTTTTCTTGTGGGGGAAAAACATTCTTTAGATTAGTCGCTAATTTTTGGAGAAATTTTTAGCGCACATTTTTATTTGGCAACCAGCTCCGAAGGGTATAAAAGCGTGATTTTAACTATGAGCACTGCTCAGTTTGTATACATAGCTCGACGGATTATGAAGGTCTTGGCAATTATTTTGGTGTTTTTGGGACTTTTTATGGCTGCACTGGAGGCTGCGCCGGCGCCACATTTCAGCGTGGGTCTGCCCCTGCCCATAGCTGTGTCTACGCCATATTATGGATATTCGTCGCCGTATTACTATCCTCATCATCATCATCATCATCATCATCATGAGTATTATTCGTCACCCTACAGCGGCTATCGTCATTATTCGCCCTATGTTGATGCATACCCCGAAGTCTATTGGTAAATCACATCAGATTAGAAAACACTGTCAAACTAGTCAAAATAAAATTTAAAAGCGGTTTTAATTTATTTTAAGAAAAGACATAATTTGCGTTTTATTTGGCTGTCTATTTGTGTGAGTGATTGCTTAAAGAATTAGTTAGCAAGCGTTCAGAGCGTACATGTTGCAGTAATATAAACAAAAGATGTTTAACTTATGTCCATAAAACCTAACATAACAAATATTACAAATTTGTAGCAATTTAGCTTCAATTTATCTGCCATATTCAAACAAAACACAGGCAGATAAAATTTCCCCGATAGAGTTGCATGCACTCTAAAAGCTCGTAAAGCCACAAACCTTGGAAGGTTTTTCATAATACGCTAATACCTTGTCTCAGTCTAAGCTAAATGTGCTTAGTAGCTTGGCTGAGCTTTAGACAGGCTAAGCTTTTGACAGACACAGCTTTTCTACAATCTTTAGTGCAGCAGTTACCAGAAATTCAGAAAAAGCTAACTTTAGCGAAAGCTTACGCCTATTTTTGACGCAACGACCTTGAGGAGGCGGCAACAACTAAAACAACAACAAGCGGCAAATCAATGCAGCCGCTTGCAGTGCATTCACGCAATGCTCAATGTCAATGTCGCAAAAGCTTTTAGCGCGGCAGTTGCATACTTTCAGGCGGCATATTACGTATACGCCACCAAGCCAATAACTAAATAAATATTTAAAAATAAATTAAATTGAAAATATATATGTATGTATATATATCTATATACATTTGCAAGCAATAAGCGATCTGAGCAATTGTTTTGTGTTGCTCGCGAGCATTTTGTTAAACAAAAATAAAAAAGAATCTTTTGGGCGACCAGAGCAAACTGTTGCTGTTTGTTTGCTGACGGGGGCCCAGTTTTATGGTTGACAGTGAAGGCGCCGCATGCCAAATTTTGATCATGACCGCGTAAAAAAGAAATACTGCTATATATCTCTACATATATATAATATATATATATGAGGTGCCAATAAAAAAAAAAAAAAAAAAAAAACAAACAATCAAAATACGTCTGCTTTAATTAATTGAAAGAAAATATTGTGTAACTCGCCCGCCTCGAAATGAATAAAACCATACTGCACTGGAGCTATTTAAATTTTAAAGATGTGCCCATGGACTTGTTTCTGTATGAGGATCTCGAAGAGGTCTATTTAAAAGAGAACTACATATCCGTAATACCCAAATGGCTGCTCAATATTACCACACTCAAGTTTATACACCTAGCTGGCAATAATCTCAGTGAGTTGCCAGCGGATATTTATATGCTGGAGAATCTCGAGTTTTTGGATGTGTCCAACAATGAGCTCACAGAGCTGCCCAAAACATTGGGTCTGCTGCTGCGCCTACAGCAGCTGAATGTGAGTGGCAATCAGCTGACCGAGCTACCTATGGGTAAGAAGCCACCCACTCAGCCTCTACATTGCCATTTTACTCATTTCTATGTACTCTTCCTGCAGAGCTGAATACCTTGCGCAATTTGGAGCATCTAAATATTGCCAAAAATCAATTTCGACGCCTGCCCCTGCAGCTCAGCGAATGCGTGCGCCTCAACGAGCTGAACGTGAGCGACAACGAGGCGCTGCTGCATCTGCCCGAGCGAATTGCCAATCTACCCATGCTGCAGTCGCTAGCCGCTGATCGTGAGTGTTTCCCCAACAAAAAAAAAAAAGAAGAAAGATATCGGGCTCTTTACACTCTTCTCTCGTTCTTGCAGGCTGCGCTCTTGTTTATCTGCCGGCTGCGCTCTCCAAGTTCATGAACCAGGTGCGCATCTTTCACAACACCTGCGTCAACTATATACCCATGATCTATGAACGTTTCTATCAGAATTTCTTTGATAATAGACAAAAAGTGACGCCCATGTGAGTAGAGAAAATGAACGCGAAAAGAACTATCATAATCGTGTCAAATCTTTGTTCTGCAGTTCCATTTCCAAGAAGGGTCTCTTCTGGGTGCGTGAACTGGAGTCCCAGAAACGCCTGCTGCTGCCCGTGGGCACACGCAATGTCTTTCGCGTGCCCTCGCCCGAGAATCGGGTCACACTCTACGATGATTGTTTGCATGCGCTACAAACGCTGAATCGACACCTGCCCGTCTATGAAAATGCTGCACTGCATCGCCTCCTGCCCGAGCCCTATATGAGTGCACACATCAACAATGGACCCATTGCTCGCTGCACGACTACCAACTGCTCGAGATGCCTCTATACAACCTACTACTTTATGGTCGTCAAGCGGTAAGTCTATGGGGCAGCCATTATTTTTGCGCTTTGCTAAAAGAAACCGGTTTGGCTTTTAGAGATGTCGCGACTACGACCCAATAGAATTGCAAGAACTACAGTAAGACCTGCTTAGATTGAATTTAATATCGAATTGTATTGCTTATGTGAGCTCAAGAGTGAGTTATAGGTCTATTAGAATTTGGTACAGTTTCATCAACCTATCAAACATTTATATTTGTTTTTTTTTCTATTCGTCTAACTGAAGCAGTTACAGATATTTAATTAATATTAATATACATATCATATTTTTAACTTTTCAATTATTTCCACTTTCATCACGATACGAAAATAAATATTTAATAAATATTTAAAATAATCCCAATTCAGCTTAGTTTCATCTTCATAAGATGAATGCTCAAAGCTCCCACTGAGCGCCCAATATCACAAAAATCATTAATAATCTTTTCTATTGCAACACTTTTTAACTTGTGTCTAAGCCTTCGAGTATTATATCCATTCCTTTAAAGTCCATTCAGAGATCTGAGTGTTATTTCCGATACAACCTCAATTTTGTTAAATGTCAGCTTTTCTGAAATATTTTTATAAATATATATATATATTCATAGTATAAAGGGATCTTCTAATGAGAACATGCATGTGCACAATACGATCCAAATATTATCTCTATTCCCATTATTAATTTTTACATATTATAATTTGATCATGGTAATCCCAATCTCTATATATAAAACTGTTTGTTCTGACTGACTGACTGACTGACTGACTCATTGGTGATTCACGCACGGAATTTCAGGAACCCGCAAATATGGAAAAATCGCACAAAACCTTTGCATAAAACTTTTTTGTTTACCATCCATCCTATCAAGCTTACATACAAAGATCTTTGTTTAAATGCATTTCCGAGGATCTAGAAAAAAATCTTTTGAGACGTGTCTCACATTTTTCGGTGGAAAGTGAATTTTAAAGAATTTTCGGTGAATCTTAAGTTAGTGTTCGATTTGTATTAAACTTTTTTATAAAGCTCTACATAAGAATATAATGAATACGTGTTTAAGCGATTTGGGAAATTTCACTCGCAACAGTGGTAAAATGGCGAAAAACATTTGTATGAAAATAAAATATTCAAAATTATTTTCAAGGCTTTTTGAGAACATTGAATATAAAATATTTTAATAAAACTACTTGAGGATCCATATAATACGATCCAAATATTAATATCAAATAATTTTTGTGGCAATATCAGATCATTGTAATATTTCTATCCAAACTATTATATTAAGAAAACTTGTGGATATGTTCCTAGTCATGACTTGACAATGTTGTAAGGTGAACAGTATGGCAAATGAATTATCACTTACCCGCCGATCCCTTTGCTAGATCGTCTTTAAACAGATTTCTTCTTTATATTTGCAGACGCGGCAGTGCCTCCAAGCAGCTTTTCACTTGTAACTTCTGTACACATAACTGCGCATTGCAATGGCTTTCCAGCAATGCGAAAAAATATTATCAGCTAGACTGGAAAGTTTCCGATGATGACGACGATGATGATGAAGATGTTGTTGGTGATCATGATGATAATAATGGTGATAATGATTAGGATGTAGAGTTAACTAACGTTAACTGTGCCGCGATCTTTGTAAATGTTTGTACAAAAAATTAGCATTGTTTAATTAGACGTTAGTTTTATAATTGTTATTTAAATGCTTAAGCTTGTTAAAGCGGTCATTAAAGTGTCCCAATAACCAACGGCAGCCGGCGCCTTGATATATGTTAGGGTATACAAGAATATAATTATTATATCCACAGGCTCAGCTTAGACAAAGCTCTGCGTCAGGCCACGTTCGTGGACATGCACATAATCATCCAGCAGACAGTAAGCAGCTGTGGGATATGCTTGGCGGCAATCAACGCCATGTTTGCCCATTCTATAAGCATCCAGATAGGGCGTAGCCAGAGATCTATGGGGTCTAAGCCGGATATAGTGTATCAATTAGTTACTAGTCGTAGTGTAACCCTCGTGTTCAATGTCTCACCGGAGCAGTCTGTGCAGCAGCTGCGCATAGAGTCCATTGTGCTCATGCACCTGACCATTCTCGCATATCGCACGCTTCAGGCAAGCTTTGCCATCTTGGCCACGTTGATTCATGTACTCCTCCGCAAACTCATACAGCAACTGCTGCGGCTCATCCACTTGCTGCTGCTGCTCCACATTAGCTTGTGCCTGCTCTTCTTGATCTTTGGTTAGTTTCAGTGGTCCTTTAAGATCACGTCCATTCCACAGATTCCACCAATATATGGGCTTAGTTGGCTCCGAGAATTGATAGTGATAGTTCATTAGCCAGACCAGCTGGCGCCAGGCATTCTTCTCCTGGAAGTCCACTGGAAATGCGGTGCCAGTTACCATCTGTAAGGTTTTCGGGTCGAGGTCAAAAAGTGTTTTTTTTTTTTTGTGATTGCAGCCTTACCTTAATAACGCCACCATCCTGATAGATCAAAAAACGCTTCTGCCTGCGATGTTGACGCCAAGCAGTCAGATTTGAGTCCATTGCATGCACAGCTTCCAGCGCCAGGAACAGCAATGTGATCAGCGCACTGTAAGAGAAGTAAAATACATATTAGGTACATATTATTACAGTGTTCACTCGCAAAAACTAACGTTCTTTTATTTACTATAAGTTCTAAGCACTTGTTAAGACAAATAAAATAATTGAATTATTCGAAAAATAAGGCTGCCTTATCTTATTTCTTAAAATTATATTCTGACAGTTAATGTTTTTTTTTTTTAATAATTCTATAACTTTATTCAACGCACATTGACTTCATTTTATCCGCTTCTTGTGTTCGTCGCTCGAGCGTTAAATCGTTTATGTTTTATCTGTAGCTCGGAACGCTTTCGATTGCATCGGCTTGAAGACCCGTTCTAATGACAATCCCGTGTGTGTGGTGTGAGAAAAGTTCACGTGCTTTCCTACTTTTACATATGCCGCCTCAATTAACACGTCTGCATTGGCTGTATACAGTTTGTTTTGGCTACATGGAAATGTATTGAATGTTTTCAACAAGCCAAATAGGCGCACCTGTACGTCACTAATTAACCGTTCAATCTATTCCAGATGACTTTTTGAAAAAGGCTAAAGAGGATTACAGACTGATCTCCGACCCCATGAACTCTACATATTCTCAATGAATACCACAAGCTAAGTCCACTTAACTGTGAGCTTTTAAATTTAATAGATTATAAATGCATTTCGGATTATTTTAAATATTAAAGCTCGCCCTGAAACAAACTTGATTATTTTTTATTAAAATTTGTATTCCAGTTCATTTAGTTGAAAATTAATAATTTTAATTGTTAAAAGCAAAAAACTCACCTGTATTTTGAGCCGCTTTCAAGCTGTCAATACACAAAGAAACATCTATCGTTTTATTCCACAACATTCCGCATGTTTAGCCGACCAAAGTAGGGCAAGTGGCCGGAAAGGGGAACCACAAATGGGAATCCTTGACTACCAGCCCGTTGGGGCAACCAGTTGCTGCTGGCGCTGCTGCTGCCATGGCAAGCATCGGCATTGCCATAGAGCTGTTTGTTCCATTTATCGAACTGCAAAAAAAAATGTCGAAACAGTTCCGTAGCTCAAAATCGACTGCCACAAATTTTTAATTTTGCAACAAAATTTGGCTAGCAAAATTTGGCAAAACAAAATCAAAATTTAAGTGTGAAAATTTAAGATAAACATAAATTTACTGTTAAAATGCTGCGATTGCCGGGAATGCCGCTGCTGCCAGGTGCGCAGTTCTATGACGTGAGTAGTCAAAAACAGGTTTACCAATGTTTGTTCCCTGCTGAGCTACCGCATCTAACTCTTCTCATAGTACAGCAAGCAGCGTCATCCGCGGCGTCAAACATTAATGCACTATCAGGGCATACACATGCTCTCGGATCGCCGTGAGCCGGAGCTGGTCGAGCCCAACGGACCTCTGGTGGATCCCAACTGTCCGCCAGCGCATGCCGAGCTGAATGCACCGTGGGCGGCCAAGATGACGACCAAGCTGCCACCTTGGCTGGCCTACGACAAGCAGGTGCTCTGCTTTAATGCGTACTTTAAGGAGCCGCTGACCGAGGTATATCATGCGCCCTATCAGGTGCGTAAGGTGAAAATCTACTTCTATCTGGAGGACGGAACCATGCAAATCACGGAACCCAAGGTGGAGAATTCGGGCATACCGCAAGGCTGTCTTGTGCATCGACAGCGCATACCGAAAGCGCCACCCAACGAACACGAGTTTCTATCCATTTTCGATCTCAACGTGGACACCAATGTGCAGATTTTCGATCGGAACTATCACATCAGTGGCTGCGACATTTTCACCAGACAGTTTCTCAGTCGCGCCGGCATATCGGTGCCGATGGCACTAATGGAGCCCAAGTAAATAACGAATTTTTCAAATCCTTGTAGAGGGGGTTTTCCCATTGTCACACCTATGAACCTACATAGTCGAGTTGATTTTATCCTGTCCTATATGTTAAAGACCACTATATCATATAGCTCCATAGGGAGAATTGGTGGAAAAACGAGTTTTTGTGTGGCGAAATATTCTGTTTCTCAATTGCAAGCCATACAATTTTCCCCACACAACTGCAAAGCTGGTTTCCCATGTCTACAAGGGTATTTAATCCTCGGCGTTCCGAAGCTGTTTTTTCCATTATTTAATGTTAAACAGAGGTCAACTAAGCCGTCTGGTTCTGTCTTTTCAGTGATCCCACTACAGAACTGCGCAAACGTTCCGCTGTGAAGCCAACGCCTCGACCGGAGACGAGCGCCTTGCCCAAACGGCATGCATTTGCACAGTTTCTGGAGTTTGATCGGCGTGTGCTCAAATTTCAGGGCTACTGGAACGATCGTTCGGATTTTGGTGATATACGTCGACTGGACATATGTTATTATCTGGCCGATGATACCATAGACATTAAGGAGAAGTTTCCACGCAATTCGGGCCGCGAGGGAACCAGCACATTTCTCAAACGCGCCAAGCTCCCGAAGGATTTCACGGGCTTGGCGCTGCCGGGTCAGCAAACCTCCGTCACCTTGTTGAATGTGCTGGGCACCAATATGCGTGATGTACGCTACGTGACAGATCCCTTGAATACTGGCCAGAAGCAGATTGCATACTACACGGACGAGGACTTGAAAATTGGCGCCGTGTTGAAGGTCTTTGGACGCCATGTGGTGCTGACCAGCTGTGATCAGTTCACGCAGCACTATTACAGAGAAAAGGTGTGTGTGCAGATTAAGGAACTCGATTTTATTTATTGGCTTTACACACTTACCAATTATTTTCTGTCACCAGTATGGGATTCAAGACTTTACACCGCAACCCGTGCCGGATCGCAGCGAAGAGCGTGACTCTAATGCAACTCAGGCTCGCCGTTTGCCGCCCTACAATGGCTGGGGCAGCTATGAGGACTCGGAGGGCAATTGCATTACAGTGGAGCCCAAGGCACCGCAGGCGGACTTCAAGAAGCTCATGAAATATGATGGCTGCATTTTGCGCTTTGGTGCCAAGCTGATGTCCAGCATACGGGAGAACTGCGAGCGCAGCTTTGTGATGAGTTATTATCTAGCGGATGATACCATCCAAATCTATGAGATACCACGACGCAATTCGGGCTTTATGGGCGGCGAGTTCCTGAAGCGTGCACGCGTGCCGCTGCCTGGCCAGGAGAAGTTCAGCTCAGCCAGACCGGAATACTATCGCGCCAACGACTTTTATATAGGTGCCAAATTAAGCTTCAAGGATCACAACTTTCACATCGTTTCAGCCGATGAGTTTACGCTGCTCTACATGGAACAGCATGCCAATGAGGTGGGTTGAAGATGTTCATCCGCTTTGCCTTCAGCTGTACAGCCAGTCTTTCTCCTTGCAGTTTCCTGTGGCGGACATACGCTCAATTATGCAGAAGATTCGAGAGGCAGTTCGTCCGCAGTACAAACAATTTGTACTGCGCTGCCAGCCGAATGCAGATCTGCGCGATGGCACCACCATTAGCTTTGAAACGTTGAAATCCACGTTGCTCGCTTTTCTCTCAAAGGAAGCACTGCTCAACCATGAGATCGTCACGGTTTGTCGGTTTTTCTCCGCAGAGCAAATGCCGCCACCCAGCTGCGATAGGAATCATGTGCGCGCCGCCGCACAGCTCGAGCTGAAGCGCGCACTGTGGAACAATGTGGATGAAATTGTTGAGCATTTAAGTCACATCAATCCAACAGGCAAGCCATACATTACAGAGGCACAAGTCAGATCCACGCTGCGCGGCTGTCGGCTGCCTTTTAGTCTGGAGCTGGTGGAGGATATACTGCAGGTACTGAAGCACAATGAACAGGGCGAAATTGAGATGCGCGATGTTCTGGGTTTCTTCGATATGAGCGGCGATCAGGTGCCCGACATAGCACCAATTAACATTGCCTTCGAGCTGTGTCCAAAACTGCCCTTTCTGCACAAGGGTCGCCTGGTTGACTTTAATTGGTTTCTGCATTATCTGGGACTGGAGGAAGAGCTGGTGCGCGACAATCATTGATTTTCCAATTCGGTTTTAGATCGACGGTTTTTAGTGCAAGAAACTTCGACAAGCCACAAAATTATAATCATTCTATGGCTTTTCTAGGTTTGTTGTAGAATTTTGCACTAATTTCTTTCTTATAATAAATAAAAAGTTAAAAAATAAACTTCGCAGTGTCGAAAATTAAATACCCTTGCTATTACATGTCTAGTTTTGCGCCATATTTCTTATACAAAAACTCTAAATTAGTTTGCATTAAAAAAGTTAGACAGACAGACGGACTGGCAAAGCTATATCAACTCCTGATTTATAAATTTATATATTCACTTTAAGGGACTTATCCGATTGTCTTTTCATGATACAAATTATTATTACTTGCTGCAAAGGTACAAAAAGTTACAACATAAATTTTGTCCTATTTAACTAGGTATCTATATAGAACTAAATTCAGGCACAAAATCCGTTTAGATGCGCGTACAATTAAAACTTTGTGTCTGAAATTCTACTATCGTTGGTTTTATAAAAATTTCCATGTTGTGTATATACAAAGAAAATATCGTGACAAATGCATTTTGAAAATCTTTTAGGAATGCGCGAAACTGTGTGCTTATAAACTAAGTTGTAAACGTTGTTGCTTATAAAAACACAAACACAACACATATATACGACTGTGTTTGTTGTTTTACAGTTTGGACTCTGTGAGCCAATTGAACGATTGTGGCTTTCGATCTGAAGAGGGGCTGATTGCCACATTTATAATGGTGGGCCTATCCGTTAACTGATTGGCCGCCTTCACTGCCGCTTGCAACTGTTTGATCTCGGTGCAGAAATGGCCCTGCATGCCGAACATTTTCATCATCTCCTCGTAGCGCACCTGAACGCCCAATGCTGATGGTGGCGTGCTATAAGTAAAGAAGCAATGAGCACGATAAGATTAGCTACTAGTTATAGACCGAGATAAGATGCGAATCTTACATTTGCGTTAAATCGCCCTCGCTGCGTATGGCGTCGAAGGTGTCCTTATCAAAGCCGCCGTAGATGCCATTGTTGTTCACAATAACAATGGTAATGGGCAGCTTATAGCGCACCATTGTCTCGATTTCCATGCCCGAGAAGCCAAAGGCACTGTCACCCTCCACGCAGAGAACACGCTTGCCAGGCGCAAAGTCACGGCAGTAAAGAGCAGCTGCCACGGCAAAGCCGGGACCGACGCCCATGGTTCCAAAGGTGCCGGCATCGAGACGATGACGCGGCTGCTCATTGAGCAGCATGGAACGACCAATGTCCATCGTATTGGCGCCCTCACTAACAATAATAGTATCACGTGGCAGTAATTCACGCAGATGATGGAAGACTGTATAATAGTTCAGCGGCGTCGCTGTATTCAATGACATCTGCTGCACTGTATCACGGTTCTGTTTGCATTTGACCACCAGCTGTTTCCACCAGTCTTGCTCATAGCCAAAGCGAAAGTTTACGGCGTTCATTTGCTCAAACAACTGCTCCGCAAAGGGGCGTATGTCCGACTGTATGGCCACCGATGCGACAACCGAATTATGTAGCTCCTCGGGACAAATGTCCACCTGTATAAATTTCACATCCTTATCGTAACGTGGCGGGCGTCCAAAATGTAATATCCAGTTGAGGCGAGCTCCCAGCAGCAGCACGACGTCAGCTTTTTGCAGAGCCAAGGTACGTGCCGAGGAAACGCACTGAGCAGCCGTATCAGAGACGACACCTTTGCCCATGGGCGTGGGCAGGAACGGCAGATTTGTGTTTTCAATAAAATGCCGCAGTGTATTCTCTGCATGAGCATATGCTGCGCCCTTGCCAATAATCACAAGCGGACGCTTCGCCTGGCGCAGCAACTGAGCAGCCCGAATAACATCATCATGGGGCGGATAGGCTAATGGAGCAATGGGGTGAGGCACAGATTTGTAAATGCTCGACTCTATCGCCTTCGATTGCAGAATATTGCCAGGGAAATCCAGATAGGCCACACCAGGACGTCCATAGGTGGTATAGCGCACAGCCTTCTCAACATGCAGCGGGATCAGTGCAGCAGTTGGTGGACGTGCTGCATATTTGCAGTAAGGGCGCGACAGTTCCACCTGTGGACACTCCTGGAAGCCGCCAATACCCTCATGATCCTGATTCGTGGCACCACCAATCACAATCAGTGGCCAACAGTTGACTTGAGCATTAGCCATGCCACCTGAAAGTACCAAAAGAATTTAATACATAGCAAAACTGGAAGGTATTTCTCTTAAATTACCCGTCACGTGCAGCAAACCGGGTCCAGACACAACCAGACAGACGCCAGGCTTCCCCGTTAGATAGCCAATAGCTTGAGCTGCATAGCAGGCGGCCTGCTCATTGCGCATACCAATGTACTTCAAGCCAGCGGCCTGAAAAGCCATCGATAGCTCAATTACTGGTATTCCAATAATGCCGAACACATATTCCACGCCCTGCAAATCAAGACAAACATATTTGCAATCGTAATTAGTAAAACCTATAAAAGTATACCAGACTATTTCAAACAGAGTAATGCTATTTTCGGCCGATGTTAATAAGATTTGACTCATGTGTGTGTTATAAGATAACTTGGAAGGCAACAAAGTTTTTCATACATGATCTTTTTTTTAAAGAGATCATTTCAATATAGCTACATTATGAAATAATGGCGCGATGTTAATAAGGAGCAAAGTGAAACTTATTGTCGAATTTGGTCAAGTTATCTTGGAAAACACAGAAGTTTTTCACACAAGAAATGAACTTTCAACCGTGCAGTTCGACCGATTTATAGGAACAAACATGACAATACTCGGTCTATTAAAAATAAATGTGCTTTATGATGTTGCAGATGGTTCTGACGACGTGAAACAGGTTGTGCAAGAATGTTGTAATACTCTCTGCAAAGGGTTTAAAGTTCAATTGAACAAATTATAATATTAAAATTTCCTTAAGACCTTATTCAAGTTCCTATTGATTTAATCAGCTGTTAAACTCGTGTGATTTACTGCTTTAATGCGATGGGGACATGTGTTAAACCTTTGGAATATTGGGGGGCTGTCGCTCGTATCTGGATCCGCTCGTATCTATATCGCCATATAGAGCCACCGGCTAGCAACAACAACAACACGCACAATACACACAAAAACATACACAAAAGCAGGCAATAACATTGCTTGGCCACTTTTTGAGTGCTTTTTGAACTTTGCACAACAGAAAATTGGAAAGATAAGCAATGCGGCCCTGGTGCCGTTAAATCTACAGTTGAACGTACGTCGCATTCTTTTCCCCTCACTGCTAGTATGCAAAAAGTGCATATCATAAGAGACAATGGGAAAAGATGGTGGGGCAGACAATGGCCACCGATTAGCTTACCTGTTGCTTCAAAGATTCCGCAATTATTTGCACAGCTTCGACTTCGGCCATTTTGACGTTGTGTATAGTACTAAATGTATAAAGTAATGTGCGCTGTCGCGTTTATACTGCGCTTATAAATAAATAAAGTTAACTTACTAAAGCAGAGTTGCCTTGCGCGTTTGCACACACATATGCACTAACAGAAGCGTGAATGTAGTGACAGGCACTTAACAGTTTGCTGAACTGTTATGAACAGCTGGTAGACATCTTATAAAATAAATGTTATACTCAAAATTAATCTGTTACGAAGCAAGAGTGAATCGGTTTTATAGTAGGTTCAGTATTAATCGATAAGTTCGCGCCGATAATTTTTTTTAAATACAAGTAATTGATAAAAAAATAAGTAATGGGTATAGCTATACATATATGAAGGTAGATATAAAATAATAACTATTCATAATGTAAGGCCACATAATTGGCAGTAAGAAATATTAAACAAAATGTTCAACATATCACTCCTAATTATTATCAAACATTTTACTTAAGAAACTGTTATAATTTGTTCACATTTATATTGTCAACTAATTTATATTTCAGTAGTTGCGGTTGCAAATTCGAGAAGCCTCTCAATATTTGTAAATAATTTTTGCGCAACGTTGTTTTTGAGATTATTTATTTTTAGAAAGCTTTGTTGACATGGTTGCTTCATAGGCTCACGACCGTGAAGTTAATTTATTAAAACTGAATTATAAACAAAAACAACAACAAAAAACAAGGTTTGCAGTTCTGCATTTTGATTAACATTTAACTAATTGTTGTGTCAACTTGGGGTTTTTTGCTTGAATGCGCAAAAATTAACGTTTGCGGAGACCGCAACCAGTTCGAGTGCATCCCCCCAAAAGAAAACAAAAACTAAGGCCGTTGACAAATTTGACTTCTTATGTCTATGTAAAAAGACAGGTTTTGTATAGACAACAAGGTTTTCAACTGAAGCGGGAAGAAAGATCTTGAACAGTAGGGTAAAATCTAAAAAAAAACCAACAGACTTTTTGAATTTAAATACTTATTATCATAGTACGGAGGTAAGTCCCTTACATTTATTCAAATCGTAAACGTGTAAAATAGGGCACATAATAAAAACAATATCTTTTACAACAATAAATACACAGCATTAACTTTAATAGGACTCGCTATTAATGTACCCTCTATATAGGTACATTAACATATATACAAACGTACATATGTCATAATTATATGGCATTAGTACTACAACATCACAGCCAATTGCCAAGGCACAAACTACAACTTTGTATTGACAACATCCTCGCTCGGCTCGGTAGTCTGAACCTCATTCCATTTTTGTATCTTTCCCGATCCGAAGATCCAGAAAAATATGGCAGGCAAAATGTAGGCCGCTGCGCCAATCAGAAATACCCAGAACCACTCATCGATCGTGTTCTATAAAAGAAAAAGAAATAACAACGCAGTTCATTAGACAACAATTGAGTGGGAGTAGCTGCTTTGGACGCACCTTTTCATGGGTAAATGCGGCCACAATCAATGGCGAGAAGATGCCTGGTGTAGTGCCCAGGCAATTGATGATGCCGTACATGGTTCCAGCAAAGTTTGGTGCCAAATCCTGTGAGTTGGCCAAATTTGTGGAAGTCGCTGCACCATTGAAGCCCAGCGATATGGTCATTATAGCCACACAGACGTAAGGATCGCGTCCGCAGAAGGCCAAAACTATGAGCATAACGCCTGGCAAGATGTGTGCTGTAAACAAATAAAAACAAATAATTTAGTTATTAAAGCAAAGAAAATTACTACTTTTGAGCGAATACTTACAGGGTATGCAGAAAAACTTGCGGGTGAACGTAATAGTCCACCAGCCCTTGTGTCGAATCCAATCCGCAACGGAACCAAAGCAAAAGGCAGCCAACAGACGTGCAATGTGTGGCAAACTGGATAGGAAACCCGCCGAGGACAGATTGAACCCGAGCACTTCGCTCAAGAACTTGGGCGTGGCCGTAATCAGGAAGAACAGACCCCACATGCTGCCGTAATGCAGCAGAGTCAGAGCCCAGAATGGCATGGAGAATATCAGCTGCTTGTATGGTGGCCATTTCTGTAAGAGGGATAATGTATTTTATTAATTTTTGTGTTCCCATAAAAAGACTTGAAACTTACCGCCTTTTTGGCTAGTGTGCCGCCCAGACTGTTTTCAATGTATTCCCGCTCCTTGATGCTAATGGTGCTATGCTGCGCCGGTGTATCGCTGACCAGATAGAACCACAGGCCCACTACAATAACCACAAAGATGGCAACTGCATAGAAGGCCCAGACCCAGCCCAGACTCTCAATGATGAGGCCGCACAGTGGCCAAGTGATGACGGTACCGAATGTGCCACCCATCAACGAGGCGACAAACTTGCCCTTCTCGTCCGGCGGCGACCATTTTGACACCAAATTGTGACAGCAGGGATAGACGACACCAGAAACGAGTCCAATTAGAAAACGTACTGCAAATACGGCATATTTATCCCAGGCAGCGGCCACCGGTGTCAATGCAGTCAGTAGAGCGCCCAAAAGACAACTATAGCCGGCCACATTGCGTCCACCGAGCATCTCGGCGAGCGTGCCGCCTGGCAGTGAGGTTATCATATAACCATAGAAATAGCCGCCCAACAGCAAGGCCTGATCCTGTTGCGACCAATCGTATCGATTGCCATACTGTGATACAACAAGAATTATTAGTTTGGTTAAAAGTATATATACGCATGGCACAGGATCTTTCCCGTACTCACATCTGGCTGTTCCACAAGTGTGCCATTCTCATCTCGGTCCTGTACCATTGCAATTATATTGATGGACAGATTGACGCGCATCATATAATTGATGAGGCACATCATGAACAACATTATGGCCACATTCACGCGCTTTGGCACATAAACTGCAAGCGACAAAAACAATATTGTATATTAATTGAGAGTAATTGTTTATTTGCTAACTCCTTTTTTTTTCCATCATCTATCTATTTATAAACTTCTATTCCGGCTAGCGTTTGCCATGCGCATTAGAGCAATTAGCGTTAAATCTTAGATATGTCAACTTGAGCTCCGTTTGCAATTTGGGGCCCGTCAGGTGTCTAATTAACGGCGCATGCGTAAGCCGCAATATTTAATTTTTTCATTTTTCGGGTATTTCAGATTTTTGACTGACGAACAGCATCACGTGAAATTTATTTATTAGCCAATTTTGGCATCATTATTCGTTTCGTTTTATTTTCTTTATTTTTTTTGTGTTTGTTGCTGAAATTAAATGTAAACAGTGCGTTTGCGGGTGTGTGTGTCCGCGCGCGTGTGTGTGTGTGTGTGTGTGAGTGTGTACTTACAGCAGGGCATAACAGCCATTTTGGCAGGTTGTTGTTGTTGTTGTTGCTGTGCCGCACGTCAATGTCAACTGAAAGACGATAACAGGAAACAGTTAAAGACTTTATTATGCATTACGCCTGGGGAAGTTGCACTCAAGTTGTTTTAAGTTTGAATAAGTGCATAAATCAAAATTAAGCAAGAATGCGGAGGTAATTTTTGTCTTCTTCTTCTTTTTTTTTTTTTTTGGCAACGCTTTTTGTGTCATCTTATCGCGCATTCAGGTTTTAAAACTGGGAAATCTTCAATTGCTCAACGAAACAGTTTTAATAAACTTAATTTCTTGGTATTGGCTTGTTAATTTATAATGAAAATAATGGCATGTATTTATAGCCAAATATTTCTTACTCAACGAGCAGCAATGGAAAATTTCCCCATACTATTATTATTAGTTATTTTATATTAAAATAGTTTTACACAATTTAGAACGATTTTGAATTCAAAATAATTACATTTATAGGGTATTCACACTGGCTTTGCCTAGGTCGCAAAGTGCCGCTTGATAAGTTTAACGAGTTCAGGAACGTGAATGCCCAACTTGCATTGCAATAGGCTAATTTATATTAATAACTCTAGCTTTAACTATTTAAATGAGTGCTTCACGATTGAATGATCGCTGAAGCGCTTCTGTTGCAAAACCCAGATATCATAACTGTTATAAGAAATTGTAATCAGTTTGATTGCGAACATAAGGAATAATATTTCCCTGTATTTATGAGATAAAGGGAAATTCCTTGGCATTCTGCAGTATTGTCTAGTACTTTGGGTTTTAGTGCTCCATTTGGCAAACACGTGTCATTTAAATGCAATAATCATATTTATTTCCGACAATAAATAGAGATATGTGACTGTTATTATCTGACAAACAGTTTAAGCACGTCTCAGTTACCAATTTGTCCACGCACGTGAGCAGCATTTAAGCCAAATTGAGTTATGAACATGACAAATGGCAATACGAAAAACTAGTCATGCACTTTTTTATTTAAAGTGTTTTTGATTTAATTCTTGATTTTTAAAATAGCCGCCTATCATTGCCTGCCATTGTGGTCAGCCTTTTGATAAGGTAATTGTTCCCCAACACGCCACGCAAATTTACAAATTGTTTAGATCAGCCAGCATTGTGCATTTGTGCAACAACAGCTTTAACTAAAAGTTTAAAACAAAATCTGTTTTGGGGGAATTGAATTTGTAACTGCAACACTTGACGAGTGTGTTATGTGTGTATATAATATTGCCCTTGGCACGTCGAATTCGTATATTGGATTCGATTTGGACAGCTGTTTGAAAGCCATTCACAATATTGCACATGCAGTTTTGCCAATGGCATGTAGCCTCGTCTAAATTGCGTCTACATATTAACGCGACAGGGTTAAGTAAGGCAGTTAGCCAGATACTTCTAGTACTTACACACACACACACACACACATACTTGGTAGCAAAGCGAGCATGTGTTGGTAAACGGGAATATTTTTAAACAGCAACTGTTAAACATTTCACACATTTCGGCTGTTGTGTGACTAAGGGAAAATGTACAAAAATGTTTACTAGCCTAACTTTTGCTTATCTGCTTTTTTTGTTATATTTGGCCCACTACACTAGAATTTTAGGAATCGAAGACAAAATTCTGCTGAACTAAACGTAATGTTCCTAATGTTCAGTCACATCAAAAACACATTATTGCTCAAGTGGCTTGGATTTTAAATAAATAAATAAATATTTGAAATCTCAGCTAACCAAAAGAAAATTTACAAGTAACTGAATTGGTAATCGTCTGTAGATTGCAGCTGGCCATTAAATCATTTAAATTGTATTATAAAAGCCTTGTGGAAATAGCATATCATATTGGCTATTGCCACAGCTCAAGTTCCAAGAACAATACACATGCCTCTAAGGCCTCTAAGTAGGCCCATAAACAACTCTTTGTGTTTGCTGTGATAAGCAATCGTCTTGGTTTTGCCAAAGTTCTCAATGAACGGAAGAAATCCAAAACCAATACAATAAAACTACAAAAAAAAACACAGTTTTGTAGCCAAATAAACCAACAACAACAAAAATCGAAAGTTAGAGCAACCAGGCGCATAAAATATATAGCTCTATAATACTATAATACTGGGTTATCGTGTTATTGCAGTACGCAAACAAAAAACTAAATAGCTCATTAAAATGATTGCGTGTAGCCACTAGGCTCTATGTCATTTTCTAGGTGTACGAACTCGACCGGTAGTTAAATATATGCATTTGAGGCGTATCTAAGTATATTTTATATATATAACTTCTCCAGAGACGTGACGTGCATTAGCATATGGCGTAATTTTATGCAAAAAATTATAAATGAAATAAAATCCCGAACTAAGAGGTCTAACACCAAAAATAGATATCGCATTCAAGATACGCCATTTAAGATATCCCATGGGCCAGCAAAGTCGGATGACTGGTTCACAATAAATTGGATTAAAGAATGCAAATAAACAAAGGCAGTAAATAAACGTTGAGTCTGAAATGAATTGTACAACAACTGAAGAGCTTTAACAAAGTGCATATAAATTATATGCTTAAGCACGATTGCCTAATTAGCCCACTTAAGCCCTGGCTCCGTCTTGATAATCGTGCCGATACCCTAAAAGCTTATTTCAGAGGAGGATACAATTTTGAACAGTGCGATAAAACATAATTTTGCAACACGCTCACCAAACGAAGATTGTATTATTATCTTTAAATATATAAGTTTATTTTTTGCACTTCGAGAAAGTTGTTGCAAAGGAACTTATTCGCGGAAAGTATATGTAAGGTTTACCTTTTCAATATAAGACCTTCGTATGATTAAAAATACCCAAACTAATTTCCTTTCTCTTCACGCCAATTGTAAAATAACTTGTAGTAATTCGCAGCGTGAACAAGTCAATTAACTTGTGATTAAGAGTCTGTTGCACGGTGCTCTGACTCAGATTTACAAATATCTTATCTGCAATCCATGAGCTACTTTAGCAACTTGGCGAATTTCTGAAAGCTGCGGTTAGAACCCGCCGTTACAGTCATATGTGCGATATCTGAGTATAAATCACAGATTCAAACAATTTAAGGAAATCACCAGGTACCAAAGCAAAGTACTAAATAGTCTGTGACTGCATTGTATTTTTGGCTTGAGCCGAGTGCTGCTAATTAATTTGCCGTGTGCGCCTCTAATCAGGAGCGTGGCGCTTTATCAGCGCCAGGCTCTAAAAAATCAACTCAACAATTTATGACGTTATATGGCGAGGGCAGGGAAAAAATCGTAATTGTAAAATATACGATAAGACCTGGTCGCTTGATAAAGCAAGTGCCACTCATTATAGTTAGGTTAATCGTTAATTAGTTGTAAAATGGCCACAACAACAAAAACAATTGCATTTTTTAGGACTTGTTGTTGGACTCTGTCCGCAATCCTTGCCATTTATGAGGCTATACATATTTGATTTATTGTTCGATAAATAAGCTTGTGGGGGGGCTGCGATATCACGATATCGGAGTATGATCTAGGCCATAATGCCCATTCATTAGTGCACAATTAAACCGTTAGCTGACGACATAACAAATTACACATAAGCATAACGTAGTATATACCCTATAAAACATATTATATACCCATGGCACGCGTGCTTGAAGCATTTACATAAGACATGAGCACACAATTGACATGGTTTGGTAGTTTGTATCTCTCTCGAAGTATATGTTGTTATTGTTGTTGATTTGGCTTTTGAAAAACGTTTAAACAGTTCGGCTTTTTGTCGGTTTGCATGGCTATCGGACTGTTTTGTTTGTTTTGTATTCCTTTTTTTATTTATTTTGTTGTTGTTGTTTTTTTTTTGTATTTTTGTTTTTGAATTCTGCAAACTAATTCAATGGCAATGAACCGTGTCTCACATAAAATTGAAATATGTAATGCGCTTTACCAGTTTTTATTTTTTAGTTTTATTTGGATGTTACGTATTGTTTCTTGGTTCTCAGTAACCGAAACGAAATTAACCTGGGCATTGCACTAATTCCCATGGAATCACATTTTTGCACGTTATAATTAACTTTCGAATATAAGTCGAGAAAAAAAATAACAACAACTTATTTGCACAAGCCACAATTACATGGTATACAAAAAAAAAAAAAATCCGAACTAAGTAGTCAAAATAATTATTCATATAATTAGCAGCTTGATTTATGAAAAATCAATGCGAAAAATAGCAAGTTACATGGTAATTCAATAGATTAACACAAATCGCAAACGCCATATCAAAAGACCTCAAAAAAAAATTGTTGGAAAAAACATCTAGAAATATCGTCAAACTTTGAATATTGTTTATTGCATAACATTCAAGTCGAAACTTTTGTTAAAAAGTCCGATTGTAAAACCCATAGCAGATCAATTACGAGTCATATAGATTTTATACGAATATTAACAAAACAGCTTCCGAAAGTGAGCATTCAAATAAACTAGCTTTCAGAATTCAAATTGAATTAAATGAATTATTTAATATAATATCAGGCATTTTTTGAGACTCATTAAAAAAAAAGCGTGCCCAGAGACTAAACCAGTTGCCATATCAAATGCGAATTCATAACTGAAATGCATATTTTAACCCAAATAAAAATCAAATAAAAATGATAGCGCCACACGCGGTTTGTAAACAGGAGAAATAACTACATATATCAAATTGGCGCGTGTTGGCCTCAGCTGATTTTGATGGCGGATGCTAAGCTCCAAAAAATCGGATATCTTTGATAACTTGCACTTGTACCTGTGCACTTCACCGTTTGATTAGGCACTTCGTTCCGATACACCGCATAATTATATACACTTTATAACGTTTCGCATGGCACACTTTGCCATATAAATTATTCGCATGCAAGAAATTTTTCCATGACAGTTCGAGGAGACTGCGATAAAATTTGTTGATTTATTTTTTAGGTATTTTTATTATTTTTTTAAACGAAGTCCTTGCTCTATGCTTGTCAATTAATAAGTTTACCATTACGAAATGGTTAATACTATTATAATGCAATAATATACATATAATATGCACACGCACTTGTACACTCACATTTGGGTACGCGGTGAGCGCCCGATGTGCCACTGGCTATGTGGGGGGAGTGGAAGTTGGCGGGATTGGGCACTGTTGCTACAGCTGAGAACGCCGCGGAACGAATGAAGCTAAATCGCCAGCTGCCAATGGCATATATACTTTAGTTAAGTTATGTACCGTCAGACGCGCGGCGACGACGTTTTTAAGCAAAACCTCGGCCGGCGACAGCGAAGCGCAAAAACAAACGGTTAAAAATTGTTTAAATTGTTGTTGACTGTTGGCGGTTTTGAGATTGACGCTTCGCTCGCAGCTTTACTCTCCCTCTCTCTCGCTCTCGCTCTCGCTCTCCTGCTCGCCCTAGCGCTTGTTTTGATAGCGCGCCACAAAAGAAATCGCATGCGATTATTACACTAGGAGAAATTCTTGAATCCAAACAAAAATGTACAAATTCGTGCCAATCACGGGCTAAAAAAAAAAATATTTCAAAAATAATTCCATTCTTGCCAATCCTTGGCAATGATCAACCAGCACGAGCACACGTGCTTTAAGCTTATATATTCAAAACGCGTTAAAACGGGAATACTTAAGAATACTTAAAAAAAAGCAGAGAGTAGCAGCTTGACTAGCATACACCCAGTATCAAGTTGAATATTTTGAGCTGTGTATAATGTCAAAAATATTCAAATATTCAAGCATGGCTCATACTATTTATATTAGCCAGAGCTATATAAGATAATCTCTTAATTGATTTAGCTGCAGTTTTTTATATGGTCCTTATCTCTATTTTAACTCGTTTCGTTCAGCAACAAATTAATAACCTTTTTAAACATTTTTTATATGCACAGTATAACAAGTAAGAGGTTCTAGTCGGGAGCTCCCGACTAGGGGATACCCTGAACCCTTTTCTTCCAACATCAAATGCATATATATATTCTGTTTTAGAAGCTATATGTCAAATTTAGTGACTAGCTCTTATTATTTACCAAAATTGTCCAAAAAACAGTATATCGATTTCGATTTTTATCGATCTGCGCGGGCACTAGGAGCACCTACATCTAAAATTTCAAGTCTCTAGCTCTTATAGGTTCTGATACATACGGACAGACGGACATGGCTAGATCGACGCGGCTATTGGTGCTGATCAAGAATATATATACTTAATGGGGTCGGAGATGCTTCCTTCTGCCTGTTACATACATTTGGATTTTGCACAAATACAATATACCCTTATACCCATTCTTAATGGGCTCAGGGTATAAAACGAAAATGAATAGCACGTCGTTTGGGACGAACAGTCCAGCAGCTTCGTTTATAAGTTAAAATATATATATTTTTTTAATTAACGTTCTTGACAAAATGGCAGGCAAGTGTTAATTGCTACATTAACATGATTACATTATATATATGTTTGTTGCTTTCTTTTATATTTAAAGTATCTTGAAATTTTGATTACTCATCCGCTGATCTTCTCTTTAAATATAAGTCAATAAATTTACATAAAAAGGGACTACATTTACATTTATTTTTATGGATTTACCAAATGGCTTTTGATTCGATTACTCGTCGTTACACTGAGCGAAACATTGAGAGTATTCAATATTCGATTTCTTGATATTGCAGATTTACAAAAAGACATCGTCATGCCGAGCCATGCCAGAGCCCACTAGCCTAAACTTCAAGTACTCACACATGTCGGCTTCCTTACTAACACTTTGCTTGCCCATACTTTGCCATTTAACATGTAATCATGCTGTGAATAAAATGCCAAGATGCACAATAAATGCTCGTGACTACCAGTAAGTGGCAGCTTCTCTGAGAGCGCGAATTTGTTGTTAGATAATTAGTTTTATTGATGCATTTAGCTGGCTGTTGATAAGCTGTGATGATAAGTGATAACAGTTGTTAATTTGCTAAGCATTCGAGCTATCGTTGTTATCAGAAATGTTGCGGATAACAAACATATGTTTTTTTCTTTTATTATTTTGTCAACCTACTCAGCTCGCATAATTGATTAAAATAAATTATATATTTTAGTTTGGTGCACAACATTTTCTTGTTTTATTTGTTATATGATAAAATTGAATTTTAAGAACGTAGTCGCACATATTAACAGAGATTTAACAGTTTACATTTGAATGAAATAATTTTGCACTACTTAGCTAAGGCGTTTAACTTAATTGCGTGGTATATAATGAAAAAAGGTGCATTTATGAATTTATTTGTAATTCTTCAACAATATGCCTTTCAAGACATGTTCACAAAAAGCATGCGCTGTGCACACACTCTACCCACGAGTTTGCTGTACTCGATAATCACATCGCGATCGCCAACAACGCCAGTAAGCTGTCAAAAAAAGAAAGTAGTCAATAAATTTCCAGTATTTGCAATAAGCCACATATATGTATTTACTTGTACGAAACTATTGTAACTGACGCAGGTTTTGGCGTCAAGGAGCAGCATTACATCATTTAAATGCTGATTCAAAAACTCATTCACATCCTTTGCTGTGGCATCCGGGTTCAGGCGCTGATACTTTTCCACATCCAGTTTGGACCGTACGGCTGTGACATAATATTACGATAACAATAATTAGGTATAAAAAGTTATAAAGTATTTATAAGCTACCATCGGTTAGAGGCACCCAAACATAAGTCTCAGGGCACAATAAATAAGACGCAGACAATTTTCCCTTATAGCGCATTTTGGGACAAGAGTGTATGTAAAATCCCATATAGTAATACTTCAAAGCGGGTACACGCTCGGCAATTGTCTGCACCAAATCAATTTCCCTAAAAAAAAGCAAGCAAATATGTTAATAACAAATACCTATACAATGCACTCAAATCGAACCTTAAGGAACCATATGTGCCCAGCGATAAAAAGCTATAGTCAGGATCGTAAAAGAAGTACACTGAACTAACTGAACCAGGTAGTATATCAATGACGCCTACAGCAATCAATTTTCCATCCAGCCAGTATTGATGATGAAATGATCCATATCCCATGTCCGGAGCATCTTCGGTTGTTTGGTGCTGAAAGCAATGCAAGCAATAAGATTAGAATTCCCTTATAAAATCATTAAAAAAATTGTGTATTTTAATTATTAAACATTTGTTTGTTCAATTAGCAACCTTCATGGGCGACTGTTGTAGATGATCCTTGTATGCCATCAGATTTTTGGGCGGATCATGGTGTATGACAATCTGATATTTCTTATACAGCTCAAAACTTTGCGGTAATGTACGCCTGAATTCATCGCTATTGACGTTCACCAAACGCAGCTATAATAAGATTTATAGAAAAAGAAAGAAAATGATTTATAATTACCTTTAGGGGTGATTTAACCAAAAACCGCTGCATACTAGCTAATGTTAGGCGTGCGGGGTTATCATTGTGTATGACTAATTGATATTTGCGATACAATGCGTGTACTGCATCGGCACAAGTGCGCTGTGTATCTGAGGCAGCGACCAAAACGATCTGCAACAAATAGCACAAATACGATGTGTGTACATAAAGGGACTCAAGGGCACACGCCAAAGGTAACACAAAACAATCTACATACTATATACATGATAAAAGGTTAAACACTAGCTACGTGCTGCAAACGGTTTCAAAGTTTTTTTTTTGGCATAAAGACACGTGCTTCAATTCAATACGAACAGCATGACAATGTAGTATGCAGCTCAAGATAAGCTAAGCTCTAGATTTAGTAAAAACATCTTCTAGCAAAATTTAGAAGTCTTCAAAGTGCGTTCGCCGAAAACTGTTAACATTTTTAACGGATTTAACTATTTCGAATAACTAATTCAGGTATTTTGTGCTCTTATTAGATTCAGCAACTTTTTGTGCTGGCAACTGACCACACTAGTGTACATTTATTAACAATCACTTATCTCGAGCTGTATACGAGCTTTGAATTTAAAAAATGGTCTTGGTGCGCATTTAGCAATTATTTGTATAGACCTAACAACACACCTTTAAATGATGCTTATCAGTTTCACAGGGTGCTGCCAGAAAATCTTTCAAGCTCTTCTCCTGTTTCAACGTTTTGGTATGTGATGGCTGCTCAAGCGGGGCGCCCAGTTTGGCTTGCCTGCGCTCCAGGCGCATCTGCTTAGCCTTCTTGCGTGGCGGATTTAAGTTGGAGATTAGTGCTATGAAATTGAACACATTAATAGTTAATGCAAGGCCCAATAAAAAAATATCAATGGACTCACTTTTACATTTGTTGGATACCGACAGCGACGCTGCAGGATCTCCTTTGCCTGCCGTTACGTCCAACCCTGGAGCAGGGCACGCGCTTTTCATTTCTGCGGCTAAACTCTCAACTTGTTCAACATTAATTACAGAGGGCTTCTTATCAGGCAGCTGTGGCTGAGGGTCGCTTGCATTGACCCCAACGCCGACGTCAGCGTCATCGGCGGTTTTTGATTCACCCGCTGTCTGTTGCTGCTGCTCGCTTGGCTCACGTTTGCCATCGCGTAAAAATTTATTCATACGCCGCAAAATGCGTTTATTGGACTTGGTTAGTTTAAACTCCAGAGCATCGCACTTAATCGTATAGCATGGACAGCATGTAATGTCGTTTTGCGGCTTATAGCAATAATTACCGCAGCGCCGCCAGCCTCTATCGATCAGCTCTTGGTAATCGTCGCAGGTCAAGCGATATGCATGCATACCTGTATGACGCACACGCACACATACATGCAAGTAAATATGCAAGTGGTGAATACATTGTACTTTAGGTCTGCTAAGGTATGTTCTAAATGGTGTTCTTACCGTGCGATTTGCTACAGTCCGTGCCCGTGCAGTATCCACATTTGCTCGTCTGATCCCCATAGTACTGCACAATGCTGACACTCATAATTGCGTACAATATTCTCCTTAGACACACACACTCCTTATGCACATTATTTTTGTTAGCGTACTATAACTTTAACATTTACTTCAATGTGTGAACAGGCTGCAGCACTGCAATTCACCGATCCGATGATTCTGTTGTGAAATATTCCTTCTAATAAAAATGTTATGTAGCATGCTATCGATATATCGATGTTATGAATTAGTGCTGGAAAGTGCAAATCCATTTATGTTCAACGGTTACTGATCAGCTGAGACTGAGCTGGTTCTGAATTGTTTGGGCTCAGTTGTTTTCATATTAGTTAACTAGTTTTGCTTATAATAAAGTGGTAATAGTGAAAATAAATTGCTAAAAATATTCCAATTGAAATGTGACGCACACCTACGTAAAATTGAAACAATTGAGCAATGAGCTCATTCAGGAAAAAAGAACGAATGAGCTTGTTCCAACGGAAAATCCACTTAGTCAACACTATTACTAAATCATTACACACAGTATCATATTTCGACTGCCGAATTTGAGTATTGTTTAATTACATTACTTAAAGTAAAATGCATTAGTAAGCTATGAAATAAGTCTGCTGCAAGGTGTATAAAAGCTGTAAGTTATAAACTTCTCTTCACAAGTTATGGTGTAACAGCTAAAAAGATACATATCTTAAGTGCAGTAATTCAAAACTTGTATTGCGTAGTTGTCAAGTGAAAGTTGTTATACGCTTAGTTACAAAGGTTCAAACTCTGCCGAACATGGAAATTTGAAAAGCCTTCATTGGCAAAAAGAAACCTTTGTACGTTTTTAGGTCTGATTGTAAAAATTAAATAATTTGATGTGAATCGACAATATTCTTTATTGTCATTATCAGAAGTAGAGTATTTGCACTATTAATGCCATTTGTAATATTTTAGCAGCGCCATGATTGGAGCCGCAACATCTGAGCTTGATAGTCGCTCCCCCAAGCCGAATGCCCACTTTGAGCACAACCTCAAGCTGGCCCAGGCCGGCTCAAAGGATGGGCTAAATGGAAAAGTAACAACAGCACAAGCAACCGAAACCACGACCACACCTATTCCCGCCGACTTGCAGCCCGCCTATCATAAATTGTACGCCGATTGCCAGGAACATGCCGCCTACTTTGCCAAGGATCATACAGAATATGGCCAACGCTTGCATGCCGCACAAATTGCCTGGCAGGATTTTATAGTGCTGGCCAATCGGCTGGTGCTGCAAATTGAAGCTTTTGCCCACGAATATGACTTTGACGAATGCACCCCGGGCAACGGATATCGCAGTTTTATATACGTGACCAATGCGTGTATCACACATGGGCGCAGCATTTGCCAGCAGCTGCTGGCCACTCGCGCCACGCTCTTCTTTCGCAAGAAGTTCTACATGAAGGAGGTAGAGGCATGCTCCCAGTTGCTCTGCTCGCTGTGCACCTGTCTGCAGTATCTGTTAATACTGCGGCAGTGGTCGGTGAATACGGGCGATCTACTTGCTAGTGGGCAGCATACGGCCGAACAGCTCTTCGAGCTGGGCGACACCATTAATCAGTATTGTTTCTATGGACGCTGCTTGGGCTTTCAGTATGGCGACTCAATACGCGGTGTACTACGATTTCTTGGAATTGGCATGGCCAGTTACTCCGAAACGTATTACTCGCAAACGGACAATGGCAGCAGCACCTTGCTAAAGACTACACGCAGTCTCTGGTCTAGCGGCAAATATCTTATGAATCCGGAGCTGCGCGCAAGACGTATTGTAAACATTTCGCAAAATGCAAAAATTGATTTCTGCAAGTCATTCTGGTTTCTAGCCGAATCGGAGCTAATGCACAAGCTACCCAGCATTGTGGGTACTTCCATCAAAGTGAATCGCATAATTGAGCTGCCCGCCGAGCCAATGCGCTTACCGGCACGTAAGACACAAACAGAAAACGCAGCAAACGAAACAGAGTTACAGTTTGTAGATATACCTGTGCCTAGTGCACATCTTGGACCCGGGCTGCCGGTTTCAGTGCGCTTGCTCAGCGCCAAGCGACGTGCTGGTATGCTCGGTGAAGGACGCTATCGCGGCTGGCGGCGACCAGCAGCAGCTTCTAAATCAATACTATTTCACTGCCACGGTGGTGGGTTTGTGGCGCAATCTTCAAAGTCGCACGAGTTATACCTACGCGATTGGGCCGTGGCACTGGATGTGCCTATACTTTCGGTGGACTACAGCCTGGCACCGGAGGCACCATTTCCGCGTGCACTACAGGAAGTCTACTATGCTTACTGCTGGCTGCTGAACAATGCACAGCTCTTAGGCACTACCGCAGAGCGTGTAATATGCGCTGGTGATTCCGCGGGCGCGAATCTCTCCATTGGATTGGCACTCAAGTGCATTGAGCAGAACGTTCGGGTGCCGGATGGATTGTTTCTGGCCTATTGCCCTACACTGGTTAGTTTTGTGCCGAGTCCAGCGCGGCTTCTGTGCCTAATGGATCCACTGCTGCCCTTTGGTTTTATGATGCGCTGCCTGCGCGCCTACGCAGCACCTTCCAGTGAAATGTTGGAGGAGAATGCCAAGCATGTGGAGCAGCTTGAACAGATACGCAACGCACAGGCTCCTATTGCGGAGGCGGAGAAGCTAACCCATAGCATTAGCTCCAGTCGACGTACCTCGACGGCCAAGAGCCCGCTGACACCGCTGGAGCCACTCAATCGTTCGGATGAAGATGAGGAGACCAGCGATACTTTTGCCAGCGCTTCGTATCACAGTCAAACGGTGGAACGTACTGACTTACCCAGCAGTGATAACAGCGACAATAGCTCCTGTGTATCATTTGAGGACGACTCACAACCCATTGAACATTATCCGATTGAGATCTCTGCGGAGATACCCAAAGATGCCGAATCAGCCGCCTACATTGATAGTTTTCTGGATAAATATCTTATTGATACCGCCACCATGGAAGCCACGGAAGAGAACACAAATACCGCTGTACAATTGCCACTAACGAATGGACACGCCAAAAGCAGCTCTGAGGAAAATATTCTTGTTGAGGCGGGTCGTGAGATAATTGTGGATACTCTGCCGGGTCGCTTGCAAGAGGCTGTCAATAATATAATCAATCGATGCACGCAGTCCTATGAGATACATGGCACAGGCACAGCTGGTCAGCAAGATGTGCGCAACTTGGATGCTTTAATAGCGCGAAGTCCCAGCGAAGAGTTTGCTTTCGATGTCCCCAAAGATCCTTTTCTATCGCCCTACTGGGCCAGCGATGAGTGGCTTTCGCAATTACCAGAGACCAGAATACTTGTAAGTTTCGAATTGAATCATAGATGAAATATTGGTAACTTATTTTACGGCCTGTAGACGCTGAACATGGATCCTTGCCTAGATGACTGTGTTATGCTTGCCAAAAAGCTAAAGCGACTGGGTCGCCAAGTACACTTGCAGATACTTGAGGGTTTGCCACATGGTTTTTTAAATTTTACGATGGTACGCAAAAAACTACTTTAATTTGATCAAGCAAGCTAATTAATTGATTACTTTATAGTTGTCCAATGAGGCAATGGATGGATCAAAGCAGTGTATTAAATCGCTACAGGCATTGCTCCAGGCAAGTATAGATAACAACGACAATGGCACCGCATACGATGAGACCTCCAGTCCCAGTGCATGCTCTGTTTCATCGGCAGCGCCTTAATAACAATATATACTTATCCTTATATACATATACTATATATTTATATTCCATATATTAATATTTATACACGGTTTGTTATATGCAACATAGACATGTTGTTTGTGTGGCACAATTCTTGCTTTTTTGTTCTCAACTGTTTTTATACACTTTTATATTATGAATACGGACACATTTAGATTAGCTTTATATGTTTTGTAATGGCAGCTATACAAAAAGAATATATAGGATAAAGCTTCTACATTAACTCAGCCAATTGTTCAAGTATTGAGAGCGTGTAAGCACGCTCTAAAATATATATAAAGTAAGATACATCACAAAATGTACTCCCAAAACTCATGCAAAGTCTCGAATATGTGCCTGTTATGAACGAGTACTTATATGTAATTTATAATGATATTTATCTATGTATTTAGCTTGACCTTTCGATATTATGGAGGCTTAAAAAGTTCTATTGAAACTAGTTTAATTTGCTTGTGACAAACCAGATTAAAACGTGCAAACTTTGATTTATATGACCGAACACAGCAGCTCGATTGCTTTAGTTTTAACCATAGGCCAACTCTCTCTTTATATTAACTGTACCCAGTGTTATGTTATTAAATGGTTTTTGCCATTAAACGAGAAACAAGTTTTTTATTTTGTATTACTTTATTGGCCAAAGAAATGCTGCACTGTAAAATCTTAACAATTAGTATGTCGTATGTAAGGGAATTATGCGGTATATGTGAAATATGAATATGTTTTAGGTACATCGCGAAACTATTTTATGTTTCGTTATCCTCGATCTTTGGCGCCAAATAGTAGCGTATGTGACCCAGATCCTTGATGGCATATTCAACCACAAGCGGCACATCAGCGCACATGGACAGCTGCACTTGGGTAGACAGCGGCGTAGCCTTGGTAAAGGCGTTCAAGTAGCGACAGGCGAAAGTGAGTGTGACCGGCTCTTGCATATCAATAGTGACAGCCTCCTCCTCTTTGTCGACGGAGCCAGTTTGTGCCAACTTAATGTTCGCAGTGCCCACATCACCGCTGGCAGAGAATTTAACACCTTCTTTCGTACAGCAAATGACAACGGATTCGCTGAACTGGGCTAAATCACGGCAGATGCGCGCAAATTCCATAGCCGGCATGCGTACCACACACGAATATTCCGTTTCCGGAATGCCCAAGTGCTCCTGATCGAGATTCATCAGTTTCATTTCGTAGTCGGAGACCTTTTCCTGATTAGCCGATTCGAACATGATTGTGACTGTGTCCGCATTATCCTGAGCCTTCATAGTCACATTATCCTCGTTGTTGGCACACTTCAGTATCTTTGCCATGCTGCCCAGATTCATGCCCATGGACAGATTACGATCACACCGGAACTTATCAAAACCATCTGATCTCAGCGTCAGTGAAACCAGCGATACATGAGAGTTGTCCATTGCCTGGAGCTGAAAGCAG